GGGGGCTTCGCCCCCTGGACCCCTACCAGGGCTTTGCCCTGGACCTACTGGGAGCCTAAGGCGGCCCCCAGACCCCTCGCCCTTTAGTTTGTGATGCCACTTCATTAAGAAGATAGCTACGCCCCTGACATCTCTTATCTCACACCCTGAAGGGATGCGTATAGGATCGAAGAACTTACGTGTTTGCATTGCCTGAAATATTTCGTCAACAGGCGTATTTTCAGATGTGTCATTTTGGGTCAAAAGCCTCATAACACCATGTCCAGATAAACTACGAAATACATTAATAAATCCAAAGTAATTTCCGTATTTAGCAGCGTAGTGCAGAAAATTCTTTCCTTCATTATCAATATGGAGAAAGTTATGCTTAGAATTGAGACAAACCTGAAACATTGCAAATATAAACCCATTCTCTCTAACACCGGTATACAGATCATCATGAGTTTGTCTCAATGGAAGTAGCATACTGTAATGTAAAATACTTCAATTTTTATAATCCAAACAATCAGGAATATTAAATTGATATCGGTCGTATCTATGAAAAAGAAACAATGTAATGACTGGCATATGGCTGCTGAGTGATATACACTTGAACCGTTAACAGAACTAGAAGAAAAAATTAAATTCAATTATTTCTTCATATAATTGAAAACTATGAAAATATAGTTATAATGGCAAAACGCAAAGTGCATCGGAGTAGCTTCATCGGCATCCCGTTGTTCCCAATCTACAAATCTATTTTCATCTGTTCATACATGAGCAACATCATGTCAAAATTACCATACATTGCTATAAAATGAACGACAGTTGCTCCAGCGGGACATTGTTCAGTAGTTAGCAACATTAATTCTAATAGATCTAATTTGGATCGCATTGCAGACAAACTTTGGTTTCAATCCATTGAACAGTTTCAGGGGAGAAGATTTAAAAAAAAATAAAATCAACGGACGACAGACGCAAAGTGATGGCAAAGCTCACCTGGCCCGAAGACTATAAGTCAATTTATCAGTAAAAGTTGGAAAAAAAAGAAAGCTAAATTGCATGGCCTTGCTCCAGATGATTCTTTCTTAGTCATGAAGAAGTATTGACGTCTAAATTTTTTTAACCCAAATCTAAATCTCATTGTTCACTGTAAAAAAATGTATATAGAGATAAGGAGATGAGGTATGATTGCCAATGAGACAACTATCCACCAAAATTCAAATAAAGGGGATGTAAGCAATTATAGGCAACCGTACGGCCTTCAACAATGAGAAAAACCTATACCGTATAGTCGGCTATAGTTCATTTATTAGTATAAAAAATATACAAGTAAAAACACTCAAAACGTTTGACCTGGATGCTGTCTCTTGATCTTGATACAACTTTCGTCAAAGTTTCGAGCAATTTCATGAAGGTTCGTTATTGAATGTTTAAAAAATATTTAGACAACGGCACGACGACGTGACGTCGGCAGAAAAGTAGATCGCTTTGTCTTGACTACAACGAAAAAATGTGAGTCTGAAATCCTTTCAGGAAATTAACAAAAATAGAAATCACTTTCTTTTCAAAATTGAATTGTTCTAGATCTATCTCCAAATTTAGGTCATAACAAATTCCAATTTTCATCGTTTTTATGTGATCCGCGATATCGTTATTGTTTTGAGAGATGTCGAGGGAAAATCAATCAAAAGTTGGTATCAAATTCTTTTTGAAATTCAATTTGGGTAAGATTTTCAAACTATTTTTGGTAGGTGCTTTTCTTAATTCATTTTAGTATCTCACGTTTTCTTTTCACCAAAATCACTAATAACAACATCGCTTGCATCTTTTGTAGAAAAAGAGACAGAAGAATCCAAGGAATACAGCGATGGACAAAAAGAAAAACAGCGAAAAGAAAACAAGTCCACAAAATATTACAAAAAAAAAACCTAAAGATTGAGCAACACGAACACCACCAAAAAACGTTGATGATCTCTGCAGTTTCTGCTCAACTCGTAACACCCGCCTGTTGCTCCTGTAAATAAAGGTTGACAAGTCTAATCCACGGATAAACATCTTACCAAGGATTTGTATAGTTAGACTAACTAGCATGACCAAAAACTTTAACCTGAAGTGGGACAGACGAAGGGACGCACAGACCAGAAAACATAATGCCCCTACTACTATCGTAGGTGGGGCATAAAAACAAGAGTGCACACGCTGAAATGTCTCGCCTGTTTTACTGACCATTGATTTTATGTTGAAAGTCTTAAAGATAAAGGTTTTACTACAAGTATCACATAAACGCATCCAGGTCTTCTACCTTCTGAAATATAAAGCTTTATACAAATAGTTTAGGCCACTGCAGCCGGATAGTAATACTTATGTCTCGCATACTGCGACTTTCGTCGCAGGCGAGACAAAAACTTTTTAAAATGATCTTACTAGTGAGTTGAAGACTTGAGAGCAATTTCCAATATATTCATTATTTCCAAGGGAAACTCATTAAAAACATTTGATCGGCACTTATTTTTGAAATGTTTCCAAGGGGCATAACTTTTTTGAAAATAATTGATCAGCTGATTCTCAAACTCGTTAAAGACATTGCTGATATAAACCTATGATATAAGTTTTATAAAATTCTGGCAAGAATTGTACACATGAGAGTGCTCACAAGGCAATTTTCCATATAATTAATGTTTCCAAGGGGCATTACTCTTTTAAAAATAATCAATCAGCACTGATTTTCGAACTTGTTAAAGACATTGCTAATATTAACCTATGACATATGTTTCATAAAATTCTGGCAAGAATTGTACAAATAAGTGTGCTAACGATGCAATTTTCCATATAATTAATGTTTCCAAGGTGCATAACTCTTTCAAAAATAAAATGCTCCGCTGGACTCACACCTTGATACAACCGCAGAGGTCATCCCTTGAACAGTTGGGGCAAGTATGGACACTACATTCAAGCTTGATACAGCTCTGGATTTGGATTGTCATTGAATATTTGACATAGCATTGGTTTCTGACACAGAATGAATGTGGTTGAAAAACTGAAAAATTTGAAATTGGACTTCTACCTATCATGGCCCAATTTCCAAATTCTAAATACACGGTTAGACTCAGCATATCAAAGAATCCCAAGAAATCATTTTTTTTTAATTCAAACTGAGTTTAATTTTGAACCCTTTAAGTTTTAACATCAATGTGGACCAATTTGATAAAGGGGCCCAAAATCCAAAATCTAAATACATTCATTGTTAGATTCAGCATATCAAAGAACCACATATATTCAATTTTTGTTGAAATCAAACAAAGTTTAATTTTGGATCCCTATTTAGACCAACTGAAAACTTGGCCCGAATTCAAAAATCTAAATACATGCTTAGATTCAGTTTAGCAAAGAACCCCTTGAATTCATTTTTTCATAAAATCAAAATAAGTTTAATTTTGGACTATGTGAACCAATTTGAAGACCGGTCCCAAAATCAAAAATTTAAAATACACAGTTAGATTCAGCATATCAAGGAACACCAATAATTTAATTTTTAAAGAAATCAAAATGAGGTCAAGGTCAGATGAACCATGCCAGACAGACATGTACACCTTACAATCAATTTATGCATTAAATATAGTTGACCTATTGCTTATAGTATCTAAGAAACAAACTTCACCATGAAAACTTAACATTGACCAATGAACCATGAAAATGAAGTCAAGGTCAGATGAACCATGCCAGACAGACATGTACACCTTACAATCAATTTATGCATTAAATATAGTTGACCTATTGCTTATAGTATCTAAGAAACAAACTTAACCATGAAAACTTAACATTGACCAATGAACCATGAAAATGAGGTCAAGGTCAGATGATACCTGCCAGACAGACATATACACCTTACAATCATTCCATACAACAAATATAGTTGATCTATTGCTTATATTTGAAGAAAAACAGACCAAAACACAAAAACTTAACACTGAGAAATGAACCATGAACATGAGGTCAAGGTCAAATAAAATCTGCAAGACTGACATGTGCATCATAAAATATTTCCATACACCAAATATAGTTGACCTATTGCATATAGTATTAGAAAAAAGACCAAAACACAAAACTTAACTTTGACCACTGAACCATGAAAATGAGGTCAAGGTCAGATGACACCTACCCGTTGGACATGTACACCTTACAATCATTCCATATACCAAATATAGTAGACCTACTGCTTATAGTATCTGATATATGGACTTGACCACGAAAATTTAACCTTGTTCACTGATCCATGAAATGAGGTCGAGGTCAAATGAAAATTGTCTGACAGGCATGAGGACCTTGCAAGGTAGGCACATACTAAATATAATTATCCTATTAATCATAATAAGAAAGAAATTAACATTACAAAAAATGTTGACTTTTTTTTCAAGTAGTCACTGAACCATGAAAATGACAAGGACAATGGACATATGACAGACGGAAACTTCGTAACATTAGGCATCTATATACAAAGTATGAAGCATCCAGGTCTTCTAGGTTCTAAAATATAAAGCTTTTAAGAAGTTAGCTAACGCCGCCGCCGGATCACTATCCCTATGTCGAGCTTTCTGCGACAAAAACCGCTAGGACAATACCCCACAAAAACAATCCCAACCATCCTTTAGTGGTATGGAACCTTGTGCTCAAGTTTCATAGAGATCCATACACTTATATTCAATTTATTGTTTGGGGAACCAAAATGTCTTCAGACGCAGACATCACCATAATATAATATGAACGCAAAATATTTTGCAATCATATAAAAATATCAAAATGGCCATAATTTGGTTCTTAAATGGATCTAAATCAAAAGCCTTACTACTAGGTTAAACAAATCTCTTCATTAGAGTACATTCTAGGCTTCAAAGTCAACACATTTTGGATACATTATCAAACAAGAGGCTTTCAGAGTGACAGCAAACCGGATTTTCCTGCATGAAAATGATATTTGCAAATCTGGACCCCCAAACAGGATCAAGTAAAAAAAATATATATAGCATTCAGAAAATTAGTTTATACAGAATAACAAACAAACCTACCTCAAAATTCTTCAAAAAATTTACCAAGAAAAGAAAAAAAAAATTTCCAAAATATCTTAATACAATGTCTTTTAAAAATCTATAAAAATTATCTGTAATTATCTTCAAAATGTCTAATAATGAACAGTAAATTTCAAACTATATTTATACAGTCCTACAGAGCTTATCATCAACAACACTTAGGAAACACAAAATTTTCAAATAAATCTGTCACTCCAATTATAATTGTGATTGAAATTACCACATGTTTGTTATCTTAAAAACACTTAGTGTAATCAAACTTTATATATATAATCAATAGTTCCCAATATTTTTTCTTTCATTTGTCACAAACTAATATCTGCAACTTATCTATCAATGTCAACAACTTTATCTACACAATGTATTGTAACGAAATACATCCTTTAATAAAAATAGATTATTATCTAATGAAAATGATAATTGCAAATCTGGACCCCCAAACAGGATCAAGTAAAAATTAAACATTAACACACCCATCAAAAATAAAATACCACATAACAACTGTGACATCTACCTTCCAGACACACATGACTTAAAAAAAATAGTTATAAAGAAATTTTTGACAACTCCTGACTAAAATCAATTGAAGAGATACAATCATTGATAGACTATCTATCCATATACTTATTAATTACACCATTTCTGTTCAAAGGGAAATAACTCAAAATAAAAATAAATCATATAATAAATATCCGATTTCGTCAAAGCGTTTTCATGTTTATGAACGGACACAGTTTGGCAGCCGCCCGCCGTCGGACATCCTCAAATCAATAAAAAGATGATTTTGTGCATTTTTGGGACCAAAAAGCTTAAGGAAACCCTTGGCCGCAACCTAGGATCCAAAATGTTCTGTAGTCAAAAGTTGCCAATAATAATATTGAATCCCTATACACACAAACTTTCTGGATCAGGGGTGGCCGCCAAAGTAAATTATGTGAAAAAGTGTTGAAAATTATTGAAAATATGACCAAAACTGACGCTACAACACAAATAATACTTGAGGGGTCATTTCTTCGTCATTTTTAATGTGATGTGTCAAAAAGACGTCAGTTTGTACTAATAGTTACATCACAATTATTTCTATGTGAAATTTGTAGAATTTTGGCCAAATCAAAAAAACATCAACTTCTTAGGGCCAATTTTAATCCTTCGTGAACTTAGTCCTCTAAATGTTAATCAAAGAATTGATCAAAGGTAATTATAAAAATGTACATTAAATATCAGTTCTGATAGAAATTATGCCCTCAACAATGTCAGTACGGTACAAATAAAACAATACTAAATAATACAGTTTTAGATAATGCTTGCTTACACCTAATTTGTCAATACAGTTTACATGCATTCCTACACTAAAAAATTTGCCAACTTACACTGACAGATACAAAATAAATCTGAGAACCAAAAATATACTTTTATTCATGAATCAGTACCACTGTGGTCATGGTGATGATGTTTTCTCTCTTTACGCTTATGATGTTTTTTGTGCTCTATCTCACTACTGTCACTATCAGCTGAATCTGAGTCACTATCAGGGTCACACTGATGCTTGTATTTCTTTTGTTTTTTATGTCTTTTCTTTCTTTTACTATAATCATCATCACTTGAATCAGATAAGTCACTGTATTTATGTGAATGTTTCTTCTGACGCGAATATTCATCCTCACTGTCAGTTGATGATTCGCTGTAATGTTTATGCTTTTTGTGTTTTTTATGAGATTTTTTGTGTTCATCACTTTCTGACTCTTCAGAGTGTTCAAGGTGCTTTTTATGCTTTTTTCTCTTCTTTCCTTTATCTTTTGCCTTTTTCATAATAGGAGATCTTGATCTTGACCTGAAAATAGATATTACTGACAGCTACAGTTGCAAACACTTAGATAATATATGCCATTTTGATATTTATTGTAACATTTTTCAAAATCTTTTTTTTTTAAATGAAACAAATATTGCATTTTCAAATATATATTTGTTTTTAGTGTATTCCAGTGTAATCAAGGCCAACTATTTGTTTAAATTGGGTCAAATGTTTCAGAGGCGAAGATCTTTGAAACAAACTTTCAAATTATGTGTAAAAACACCCATTCAAGGGCTAAAACTTTAATGAACAGCCAATTGTCACTCACATAAAAGTATGTTATGCTTCTGCAGAACAGGGGCCTTAGTGGCAGAGGGGTCTAAGTAGTTCATCTACAGTGTAACTAGCTTTTCAACACTGAGGTTGTGTGTTCAAACACAGCACAATGTAGGTGTGTTCGACTTCAATCTTAATTGACTAGGATTGCTAGTTTTCCTGTCAAAGGTCAGAAGTGCTTTCCAGAACTCCAATGAAATTTAACTGACATGACATAGCCAATAGTACAACAATCTATCTATAGATTGATAGATTGATCTACTGAACAAAGCAATACATATTACCTATTTTTCAGCAAAACCAAAATATAAGTAACAATTAGATGGGCTGCTATATCCATGCATGTACATGGGAGTAGATTTGACATTCCAAGTTATTTCTAAAGCTTTATAATAAACCATGAAATTTAGCTACAAATTTAATGATTTATACATTAACAGTTTATGTAGGCCTTACAAACCTCTTTATATCAATGTTCCATCAGTGGTAATTCTTTGTTAAGTATGCCAAACCAGAAAACAATTTTAATCCAAACATATTTGGTCTCAGTAAAGCATGAGGGAAAAGGGGAATGGAGAATATACAGCAGGCAACTTTCATGCATAATGCAAGGCCATCCTTAAGAAATTCTTTGCTTGATGTTGCCTACCATGCCTTGTAGGGTTGGGTATGTAGGTAGGGATTTCTTTTTGGCCAACATCATAATTTACATGATCTAGACACGAAAACGATGTTGGGGCAAGAAAAAATATTGACAAAAAAAATTGAAACAATTTGTGTCATAAATGTTTTGGGGTAGGCTGCTTTTAATAGGTGGGTGGGTAGGCAACATCGAACAATTTAAATTTTATTTTTGGCCCAACAGCATACCAAAGATCACTAAGACTATTAAAAATCAGAAATACTGCTTTAATAAGAAACATCATCAGAAAACTTTGTATATTTGTACGATTTAAAAATTTCAAAGAAACAGGAGTATAACTACTGAATTGGATAATGTGAGTTGCTTGGATACTACTGTCACTGTATACTGATAATGTGAGTTGCTTGGATACTACTGTAACTGTATACTGATAATGTGAGTTGCTTGGATACTACTGTAACTGTATACTGATAATGTGAGTTGATTGGATACTACTGTAACTGTATACTGATAATGTGAGTTGCTTGGATACTACTGTAACTGTATACTGATAATGTGAGTTGCTTGGATACTATTGTAACGGTATACTGATAATGTGAGTTGATTGGATACTACTGTAACTGTATACTGATAATGTGAGTTGCTTGGATACTACTGTAACTGTATACTGAAAATGTGAGTTGCTTGGATACTATTGTAACGGTATACTGATAATGTGAGTTGATTGGATACTACTGTAACTGTATACTGAAAATGTGAGTTGCTTGGATACTACTGTTACTGTATACTGATAATGTGAGTTGCTTGGATACTACTATAACTGTATACTGATAATGTGAGTTGCTTGGATACTACTGTAACTGTATACTGAAAATGTGAGTTGCTTGGATACTACTGTAACTGTATACTGATAATGTGAGTTGATTGGATACTATTGTAACGGTATACTGATAATGTGAGTTGATTGGATACTACTGTAACTGTATACTGATAATGTGAGTTGATTGGATACTACTGTAACTGTATACTGAAAATGTGAGTTGATTGGATACTACTGTAACTGTATACTGAAAATGTGAGTTGCTTGGATACTACTGTAACTGTATACTGATAATGTGAGTTGATTGGATACTATTGTAACGGTATACTGATAATGTGAGTTGATTGGATACTACTGTAACTGTATACTGATAATGTGAGTTGATTGGATACTACTGTAACTGTATACTGAAAATGTGAGTTGATTGGATACTACTGTAACTGTATACTGATAATGTGAGTTGATTGGATACTATTGTAACGGTATACTGATAATGTGAGTTGATTGGATACTACTGTAACTGTATACTGATAATGTGAGTTGATTGGATACTACTGTAACTGTATACTGATAATGTGAGTTGCTTGGATACTATTGTAACGGTATACTGATAATGTGAGTTGCTTGGATACTATTGTAACGGTATACTGATAATGTGAGTTGATTGGATACTACTGTAACTGTGTACTGATAATGTGAGTTGCTTGGATACTACTGTAACTGTATACTGATAATGTGAGTTGCTTGGATACTTCTGTAACTGTATACTGATAATGTGAGTTGCTTGGATACTATTGTAACGGTATACTGATAATGTGAGTTGATTGGATACTACTGTAACTGTATACTGAAAATGTGAGTTGCTTGGATACTACTGTAACTGTATACTGATAATGTGAGTTGCTTGGATACTACTATAACGGTATACTGATAATGTGAGTTGCTTGGATACTACTGTAACTGTATACTGAAAATGAAAGGTTAATCTTAAGTTATGAGAAATACATCTGTTTTTTTCAAACCTTTTATGTTTTTTCTTTTTCCTTTTCTCTACTATTATTTTCTTTTTCTTTTCTTCTGTCTTGTACTTCTCTAAAAAATACAGTTTAAAAAATTTACTTCTGTGTAATAATAAACTTCAACCATATGAATCTTTCTTTCACTCAATTGTCAGTTAGAATCACATAGAATAACTGATTTTGGTAGAAAACTTAACTCAAAGCTAAATCACTATACCAAGTTATATACATATTGTAGCACACATCATATTATTGAAAATCAGAAAGTAATTTAACTAAAACAATGTAAATGTAATTGAAAGTGTACATCTGAGTAAACATTTTTGTCTGGTAAAAACTTTCAACACCTCATACAGTTCTTTATTGCTCATTAACTCAATAGAATTTTTAAAAACTTATATAACTGAATGATGTAAAGTTATATATACACAAATTTTATTTGGCTGATCATATTTACTGATATATACCACCAGTGACCTCATTTCTCTACTACAAAACTAACTTTGTGGCATAAACATATCAAACCTTGCTGGAACTGACTGAGTGGTGAGATAAAGTCATCTTCTGAGGTATCTGAGCTAGTACTACTGACATCTAAAACAATATCTTTACCAGGATCTGCCTTCACAAAATTTCGACACTGAAATGTTAGATGTCCAGCTGAAATAATTTTAAAAAAGTCATCAAGATCAAAAAGGTTCTATAATACATATTCAGCAAAAAATAAAAAATGAAAAAAAGAAAAACATATCTAATAATAAAATTGAGAATGGAAATTGGGAATATGTCAAAGAGACAACAACCCAACCAAAGACTATATACTTAAATGGAAAAGAATGGAAAAGTCATGGATGGTAAAGTATTTCAATTACACTGCACCTGCCTTATATTTACAAGAATGCTGAAATGACTCAACTGCTCAATTGATTTTATAATACTAAATAGTAAGTTGACAGTCAATGAGATAAAGAATTAAAGAACCTTAGTGAGCGGGCTCACATACACCACGTCCCCACATTGTCATTGGAGAAATAAAATAAGTGTAAGAAAAAAAAATTGTATCAGAAAAAATAATTGAATCGTATTTTCCTGTCGATATGCACATCTAAGTAGTATGACCTTATTAACTGAAAAGGTTTCATGAAATTCTGTTGTGTGGTTTGAGAGGAGTTGCGATGACAAAAGGTTGCAGTAGTATATTTGGCAAATAAGTTCATAGGGGCGTAACTCCTGGAAAAAAAAGTGAATCGTAATTTCCTGTCGATATGCACAACTACATAGTATGTCCTTATTATCTAAAAAGGTTTTGTGAAATTCTGTTGTGTGGTTTGAGAGGAGTTGCGATGACAAGAAATAGGACTGACGGACTGACGGACTGACAGACGGACGGGTCAAAAACATTATACCCTCCACAACTCGTTGCGTGGGGTATAATAAATTAGGAATGTGTCCATGGGACACAGATGATGCCCCCGCTTGCATATCATATAAAGTCATAAAGGGGTATAACTCAAGAACAGTAAAAGTGACGCTACCCAAACATGTACTTGAACTGAGTTTTGTGGTAATAAGTATTGTGTATAAGTTTCATAAAATTTGGTTGAGGCAAACTTAAGTAAGAGAACGGAAACAAAAAATTCAGCAATTTTTCCATTTGTTTATGGGCATAACTCTAGAACAATAAAAGTGACACCACCAAAATTCAAACTTGATCTGTATTTTGTGGTAATAAGCATTGTATTGTGTATAAGTTTCATAGCATTTGGTTGAGGCAAACTAAAGTTAGAGAACGGAAACAAAAAATTCAGCAATTTTTCCATTTTTAAAGGGGCATAACTCTAGAACTGTTAAAGTGACGCCACCAAAATTCAAACTTGATCTGTGTTTTGTGGTATTAAGCATTGTGTACAAGTTTCATAACATTTGATTGAGGCAACTAAAGTCACAGAACGGAAACCAACTTTGGGACGTACGTACGGACGTACAGATGGACAAGGGTAAAACTTGATGCCCCCTCCGCTACGGCGGGGCCATAAAAACTTACTTAATTTTAATAAGAATTAAAAATCTCAGAATAATTTTTATACCATATGGTAAACAATACCATGCACACTGTCAGATAAAGTTATGCATTAGGTGTTTCTTGGTTAATGTACTAAGCTTACAACATTGTTTAACTTTGCATAATTTCTAATCTGACTAAATTCAGACCAGTCTGGCCTCTCATTTGTTCTTGTTTATTAATAGACATCAGCAAGTCATGCAACTGATTTCAGACATGCACAGCATATCAATAAACAAAAGCAATTCAGCAACTGATTTCAGTCATGCATGACAAATCAATAAACCAAAGCAATTCAGCAACTGATGTCAGCCATGCATGACAAATCAATAAACAAAAGCAAGTCAGCAACTGATTTCAGCCATGCATGACAAATCAATAAACAAAAGCAAGTCAGCAACTCAGTCATGCCAGACACATCAATAAATAAAAGCAAGTCAGCAATTGAGATGTCTGATTTAAGACCTCCCACTTGTTCTTGTTTACTGAGATGTTGTTAGTTGCAGCAGTGTATGTGTCATACAAGTCAGCAAGTGAGATGTATGACTATAGACCTCTCAATTGCTCTTGTTTTTTTAGATGTGGCTAGTGGGAGCAGTGTGACATATAAAAACAAGATCAAGTTGTGCCAGTGAGATGTCTTAAACAGTAGCAATGTTCAACATATTAATAATCAAAAAATATTTTAATCAAACTACATAATTTCATGATTATTGCAAAGTTTTAAGAAATAAAATAAATTAAGGACATGTATGTTGTTGTTGAGTTGTGCATAGCTTGATAAAGTACATATTTTTAATATTATATATTGCAACCTGCAAAATTATACATACCATAGCCACATTTCTTACAGGCTGGTTTGAGACCATCATTTGTTTTATTGGTGTATTTGCTGCCTATACCTGAAAGTTTCAAAAATATTAAACAATAATATCACAAACAAACTGCTTCGCTGAGCACAGCTAGATACGCCCGCAGAGGTCCAACCCTGAACAGTTGACTAATTGCCAAAAAGTATTTCCAGATGATAATTTTTAATCGTTACCTGCAAAATATATATTCAGACAGGCACTGATCTAAAAAATGTTTGATTTGCAAGAACTCTGTGAAATAAATTTAAACAATTAAATTATGATGTAAAACATTAAAGGGGCATTTGCTGTCAAATTCATGTTCCCTGAGTTGACTAAAATTCTCATATTTGATTTAAAACATACTAAAATGTATATCCAAATTACAATAAGTTTGAAATAAACAATTAAAAATGCATATGACTCGATAATATATATCAGCATTTCGTGTGTATTTTAGTCTAGACCCCATCTAATTAACCATCGAGATGACCTCCGAAGACTGATATAAACCATGGAAGTATTATATTGACAGGAACTACAACGATTAATTAACACTTATTTATAACCCGGGTAGCACTGTAGAAAAGATATGGAAACTGTCTAATTAGAACGCTGTCGTTAATTTCTTTTGTGACTATCTGCGATGCCACGGTCATAAATTGACCAGAGATACTTCTTATCAATCACATGGTTTTTATCAAGACAGATTAACATCAATACCTGTCGGAAAACACCATTACTTATTTCAATTGCATCGGTTGACTTTTATTCATGAACAACTTATTTAAACAAATCGACTGATGCATAAAAGATGAAAATCGGCCCAGAATTAATTATTCAACAACGATTTAAAATAGTGAGTGATATTATTTTATTTCTTCAGGGGTTAAGTTAAAACTGTCAAAAGGGTGTGTTCCGGTTACTGCCGGGTCACGAAAATTTTCCTAATAAATATATACACTGTGACGAACCGATTAATATATATATAGCAAAGGACCTGGATTACCCTGGAAAGTAGAAATTTTCAGTTTTAAATGCGAAAATTAATCGATCAAGGACTAATTATCACAGAAATTATATACAACAAATATAGTTAAAATGAAAAATCTACAATTTCAACAACACATGTGGACGCAAACATGCATGGATAGTATCCAGCTCTCAAGACCAATACTAGTTCAGGTTAATGAAAAATTTCCTTGATCAATGAGTAGTTAAATTTCAAACTATCAGCAAACAGGAAGTGGATGTACTGCAGATCTAACAAGATGTGTTGAAACGACATGAAAATCAGCAGAGCAGAACAAAACATAAACTTGATCTGTAACTCATCATGCATATGGTAGACTCACATATTAAAAATCAGCGCAAAATAAGAAGGCATATAGAAAAGAAGTCCCTATAACTGTGATTTTCAACAATTTTCAAAGTCCAAAACCTGTAATTTCAGCAATAATCAGCAGAGCCAAACGAGACTTAAACTCGATCTGTAACACATCATGGTTAACTCACATACCAAAAATCAGCCCAATATCTGAAGGCATTTAGAAAAGAAGTCCGGATAACTGTGATTTTCAACAATTTATCAAAGTCCAAAGTCCGTAATTTTGGCAAAAATTAGCAGAGTGGAATGAAACTTAAACTTGATCTGTAACTCATCATGGTTAACTCACACACCAAAAATCAGCCCAATATCTGAAGGCGTTAAAAAAATAAGTCTGTATAACTGTGATTTTCAACAATTTATCAGAGTCCAAAGCCCGTAATTTTGGCAAAAATTAGCAGAGCGGAACAAAACTTAAACTTGATCAGGAACTCATCATGGTTAATTCACATACAAAAAATCAGCCCAATATCTGAAGGCGTTAATAAGAAAAAAAGTCTGTATAACTGTGATTTTCAACAATTTATCAGAGTCCAAAGCCCATAATTTTGGCAAAAATATGCAGAGCAAAACGAAACTTAAACTTGATCTGTAACTCATCATGGTTAACTCACATACTAAAAAATCAGCCCAATATCTGAAGGCGTTAAGAAAAAAAGTCTGTATAACTGTGATTTTCAACAATTTATCAGAGTCCAAAGCATGTAATTTCGGCAGAAATTAGCAGAGCGGAAAGAAACTTAAATTTGATCTGTAACTCATCATGGTTAACTCACATACCAAAAATCAGCCCAATATCTGAAGGCGTTTAAAAAAAAATTGTGTATAATGGTTTGTTGCGGAATGACGGAATGATGGAATGACAGAATGACGGAATGACGGTCAAGGGTTAAACTATATGGCCCCAACAACTTTGTTGCGGGGCCATAAAAAAAAAACCACCTCATTATTTATATATATATATATATATATATATTCAATATTAAAGGGGCACTAGCTGCCAAATTCATGTTCACCGATTTGACTCAAATTCTCAAATTTTATTTATAACAATGTAAAACATTTATCCAAATTATAAAAAGTCTAAAATAATCAATTAACAGGGCATGGGCTCGATAATATGTAGCTTCATTTTGTGTGTATTTTAGTCTAGATGCCATCTAATTAACTATATAGTTGGCCCCCGAAAACCTCTGATGGCCATATAAGCGATATAAACATAAATATAGATATAAATAGAAAGCCAACTCGTGCAATTGGATTTTTCTAGGTCTGTTTAATTTCATATTATAGATTAATAATGTATGTTAATCATCTTTTTTACCTGTATAAGAATGATATTTTGAGGATCAAATCCCTCAATCTAATGATTTACCTTTGTTTCACTTTCAATGTTGACATTCTTTTCCTTTAAATAACTGAGCACGCACGATCCATGCATTATCCATCTCTAGCTAAGGGGTTAAATTGAAGTTCACACGAATACGGATTCAAAGAGGTCGAATTATTCACTTGCAAGTGAATAATTCATCATCAATGTTTCTTAGCTTATTTAGCAGGGTTTAAGAACATCCGTTGTTCGACCTGTTAGTCAAATGCGTTTTGTTTAAATATACTTTTTCACTTTTTTGGTCTTTTGGAAAATGTTGTATATATATATATATATGAGTGCGTTTAAATTTTTTGACATTTGTGATAAAAACTGATAAAATATTCGTATTTGAACGAATTTTGTCAGATAATATGCAGCCTGTGTCAGTATTTCTATTTGTCATTTATGAATGTGCCAATCATGACTTATGGTTTGACCCGTATCTATCAATTTGAGAAAAAATTGAGACTTATATAATGTTATGGAATAGCTAAAGCATCTCTGTCCCATAAAACATTTTATCACTATTTGTCCAAATGATACTAGTCAATATTATTGAACAGTTGCAGTACTTAAAAAATTTCAACACATCGGGGCTCAGCTGAAACATTCGTATACCAACCAATGATCTTACCCTGGATTTAGAGCTAAGCTTAATAATTCCTAGATATATTTAAAATCTCTTTGATCTTTGATTTTTATCAGAACAATCATTTTACAATCGTCTTAAATATGCATGAAATGTGTGCCACTGGAGTAAACATTAATTATAAAATCACAACTTGCAATATATATTACATTTAGTGCAATTTCTACCGAAAAAAATAAATCAATAAACATGGGGCGTTTATTCAATTAATATGGTACAAATTTCCATCGTCAATGTGTTTTTCTATAGAATTAATGATGTCTCGCATAAATCCATCAATCTATCAATCGGCACACATATGCAGATGTAGGGTAACGGAATCTGCCGAGGTTTGCCGATTGCTGTTTCCTAACAATTTATCACAACTTTCGATTTCTTCCTTTATTACCGTAATCGCGAAAGCAACTGAGAATGACAATATTGTAGGGCGCCACAAGCTGGTGTGTAAATAACATGCCATGTTGCAAGTTGATTAACATGTCATTAAATTGAGCGCGGCATAGCAGATGAAATGTTTGATGTCGGGTCATGGTAGTTCCTGTCAATATAATACTTCCATGTATAAACATAAACATAATAGATCCTTGTGCAATTGGACTTTTCTAGGTCTGTTTGATTTCATGTTATCATGGTTATAGGTTGAAAAAATAAGTTCATCATCGTTTTTACCTGTATTAGAATAATTTTTTGTGGATCGAATCAGTCAACGAAATGGTTCATCTTTGTTTCACTTTTAATGTTGACATTCTTTTCCTTTTAATGGCTGAACACAACTAATACATGCGTAACCAATCTCTAGTTAATGGTTTTTAATGGAAGGTCACATGAATAGATTCAATGAGGTCAAATTATTCACTTGCAAGTGAATAATTCATCAGCGATGTTTCTTAGCTTATTTTGACAAAATTGAACTAAACTGGCTGCTTAAAGCGAATTATCATTTCACTGTTTCACTTTCATTAATGATTGAACAAAAAAAAATCATATATTAATTTTTGCTTATATCTCGTAGCTAATGCCCCTTTAACATGATTCAACTTCCAAATGAATTGACCAATATGAGGTTCAATTTTGCCATAGGGGATGGATTAAACCAACTTACTATTCTTAATCAGAAGGACAATTTGTTGTTCAAGTTGTGAAATTTCTTACGAAATTGCTAGACAAGAACATTAATTTCAATCAGATCAAAAAGTGAGCCTTGGAAAATGCAAAGTAAATAAAATATCACTGTAGGACATAGCAGAATGGTACCGTTTAGTATGTGGTATATATATGGATCTATAGTTTGCGACAGGCTACATACTGGATATGCACGAAGTGCCACCAAATAAATAGCTAAAAGAGTTCTAAATATGTATAAATGTGACTCCAATTTATAATTGCTATGTTCAATAAATAATTCAAATGAAACAACATATACAGGAAAATGACCCAAAGACAGTTCAGAGTATCCTGATGCTACACACAAAAGACATTATTTGCAAATGTAAAATTTGCAGGTAACAATACAAAATGATATTATTGTTGCCTGCAATTTCAGTGTGAAATCGGGTCCCTGTTCAGAAATATATTTCGCCAATTATTCTCTGAAGTAACAATAATCATTTCTTATTGTTACTTTTTGTAAATAAAGTGCCTTAAAAAAATTGGGTGGAGCATCAGCCATGGAAAAAAATCTAAATGAACATGATGTGGCATAGCGTAGCTCCACTTACTTCCCTCTTAAGATTCTAGTTGGGTTTCATGTTTAGATGTTCAAGTATGGTACGACATCAAATTGCAGATAATACACGTTATCGTTATTTACTTATTTAGAGTTACTTGGAGTTGATTTCCTGTACAGGATCCCTAAGGTTCCTCTTCACCTGACTCATAATTTAAGTTATTTCTAATACTTTTTTGTCCGTGACTTCACGGATAATTCTGTTCTATAGTCATTGTAATAGATCTCTTCGTCAGACCAATATTTATCTAATCGGTTTTTGAAGGTATTTATGGATGGGGCTTTAGTGATTTTATCTGGTAGTTTGTTCCAAGTTTTAGCAATTCTAACAGACATGACAGAGAACGAGTGTTTGCGGATATTAGATTGAAATCTTTGATGGATGACTTTGTTGCTATTTGTCCTGCTACTGGTTCTATGTTGTGAATCATCTGCCATTTTTAAAAAGGGAGCTTACTTCCTTATCATTATAAGTAGCCATTGATAGTTTGATATTTGTCCGCCATTACTGCATCACAAACAGGTCAGGAATAACCATTAATTGGTGGATTATACCTCAATTCAGGTATAATCCACCATTCGACAAATAATGGGATACACCAAATGAGGTATAATGCAGTTTTTATCCAAAATTGTGCTGCAATTTGTTATAGAAATCTAAAAACTAATATGACCCTCCTTTTCCTACTTATAAATTTTTAGTTTTCATTTATAAAGTCTTATTTTTGTTCTGTAGTCTCTTCCTGTCAATTTCGACTAACAGTTCTCAATTGAGGTATAGTCCACATTTTTCAAAACGCAGCACAGGAAGTCAGAAGCAATTACATGTCACTAATGAGTACTCATCAAATTAAAGCTTAAGATGGTATTTGCAAAAAAGATGCTCGAATATCTCTTAAAAAATTTTTATGATAAAACTGCATTATACCTCAATTGGTCTATCTCACTATCATGACTATATGTCAAATGGTGGATTATACCTCAATTGAGGGGGTTGGTCTTTTCACCACCGAACACCGCTGAATACCCAAAAAAAACATCAACCACTGAGAAAATCAGTGATTTTATACAATAAAACGGTAAAATCAATTAAATTACGTCTAATTTAACAATTTTTTAGATGTTTATATGCATCATTTTTCTGTTAAAGTCGATTATCAATATAATCCATATAAAGAAAAACGTCTCCGGATTCATCACTTTTTTTCCAGATTACATTGTGTGTGTATAAGAATCATTTGACATCAATTACTGATGAAGGATATTAGTTACCCGAAATATTTAACATTTGTTCATGTCTCTTTTCTTGTTATTGGTACAACTATTTTATAAAAATGAAGAAAAAATATTATTTGAGGTGTCCAATGGTGGTTTGCAGAGACGGAGTGTTATAGACTCTCCTTTTCTGTTCGATGTAGATATATGTTCTCTTAACCTTATTATTTGTTGAATTAATAACTTAAATATTCTATTTAGGTCACATTTATAACAATAAGATTATTAAAAAAAAAAATTGGGGGTGTTCGGTGGTGTTCGGTGGTGAAAAGACCTACCGCAATTGAGGTATAGACCTAATGATCAATCAATTAATGGTTATTCCTGACCTGACAAAGGTTCCCGTAAAATTCATAATGGAAAATTTCTAACGCCAGAAAGGAAAAGTGATTGTTGTATGAAGTAAATAGTTCAAGTGGCGCAGATTCTCGGGTCAAGAGGTGCAGATTCACTAAATAGCGATATAGATCATGATTCCCCCAACACACTTTTTACTTTTAGTTTTAGGCATTTTTTTTTTCTTTAAAACATCAAATGACACATTGTATCAAATATTGTCTTTGTTTGTTTACCTTGCATTATCTCATATAAATCACACTGGATTAATCTAAGACTTAGGTTCTTCTTATACAGCTAGTGAACTGATAATTTCTGCGAAACCGTCCTAAAATTTAACTAAGGGAGATAATTTGGTAGTGTTTAAGTCAAAAGTAAATGAAATTCAACATAAACTTTCGATTAGTATTGTGAAATACATTTTGTATGAATAAAAATCCCTAACATAATTTAATAAGAATTTCATTTTTAAAATAAGGAAGTGAAATTGGTAGTTAATTACACAAATAGACCAATTACTAATTTTATCTTTTTGTTAGACCTAAACAAAATGTCTGCGCCCATTTCCATTTCCAAATAATGGTCTAGTTTGTTCGTGTTTGACAGGCAATGAGCAATATCTATATACAAGAACCGCCTACAAGCGGAAAGGTTGAAATTTTCTACTATAAACAAGAGTTTCAAAAAATAAAGTGAACCCTTCTGCCATTAATATGTAATCCAACAGACAGTTTACAATTATGACAACAGCTGTTATGCTACATGGGGCTGCTACATGTATATAAGGCTTATCAAGTTATGCAGTAATAAGTGGAGACATTTCAAAACTCTAGAGAAAGTCATTTGAAAGTATTTTTTGAAAATCTGTATTCATTATTTCAATATTTTAGAATGATCTTCCAACATAATTTTGTTCTTTTCTACAAAATTTTGACATCCCAAAGCAAATGTCTTTATGTCACAATGTGCTATCAGGTGTTTCCTCCCAAATGAACCCAGGTCAATTCAGACAGTACATTTATAAAAACGTAATTGGAATCTTGTGCATTTATATTTAAAGAGTAGGAAAAATACTTTTTCACTATTAGATAAGTAACATTGTATACACGTAAAATTATTATAACAATGCCAAGAGATAGATTTTTTCTTCCTTATCCCACTGTGTGGTTGCTGAAGCACTACATACAGAAAAGCTGTCATTGAATTAGAGTACAGGAAGTCAATAAATCAATAGCATTATATTTCTGAAGATTTGGATAAGATTATTGAAAGGATTTTCTTTTAAAAGAAAGTCCATGTACATGTGTTTTATAGTAAAGCTTAGCCACTCAAGTATATAGAACATATTCAACTTTTGTAAGAATTTAAGTATATCATAGGACTGATACATAAACAATCTTTTCTTTAATCACAAGACTTAAGCACACACAATGTTTTAAAAGAAAAAGTTTTTAAAGCATTTGTTTTCATTTATATGTTAAAAAATCTGAAGTGAATGGACAGGACAGGGGCTGCCCATGGTAGGCAGATGAAAATGACAAAACCTGCATGAATTGTACATTTATTTACATTTATTTATTTACCTAAGAAAATTATTACACTGACTGAAGACTAAATTATATTTTTTTATTACAACTTTGCAACTCACAGAGAATGTATAATTTGTTTCATTTGTGGTGTTAAAACTTGTTTATTAGAAAGATTGACTATAATTTTAGAACTATAATTTTAGACAATCATTTACATTGGCATTTGCAAAATTCCAATAAATATGAACTCATTAATTATTTTCAGCTTATGAAAAGCTGAGAATAAAAACCCATAGTTTATGAATAAAATTCAAATAAGGTTTCATGAGGAGTATCTCTCATCAAAGAATTGTCATATAAGAAGAATCACAAAGCAACATGGGCTAATAAGAAGTTAAAAAGGATTTACATGTACGTTTATCCTCATATAATTTTCTCTTCAAACAATATAGGAAAGCTTGCCTAATTGAGAGATTCAATGTTTAATTTTATAAAAGAAATCGACTTGACCCATACTTTGCTTTCTTCATACGACCACACCATCTGTATTATATTATATCTATTTGCAGGTTCTATTAGATACAAGTGTAGGAGACATTGACATAGAATTATGGTCAAAGGAAGCCCCAAAAGCATGTCGAAACTTTGTTCAGTTGTGTATGGAGGGATATTATGAGGATACAATTTTCCATCGCATTATCAAGGATTTCATTGCACAAGGAGGGGACCCATCAGGCACTGGAGATGGTGGTGAATCCATTTATGGTCATCCTTTTAAGGTAAAATGTTTTTTTTTCTTCAGTTTTTGACAGAGTCAAAAAGCGAGACATAGGTATGATGTTTCCGGCGGCTGCGGCGTCAACAATGTTTTAGTTTGTGATTAGGTCAATGATATTTGGTATGCAGTAGTTTAAAATTTGGAATATTTCATTTCCATGGAGATTATTTGGCTCCACCCCCTTAGTCATGGTCTATTGACTTTGAAAATTTTGCCAAGTTTACATGTATTAGTTTGTGATTAGGTCAGTTCAAGGTAAACCATTAGTGATAGGCCAATGTTAATTGGTATTCAGTTGTATAAGCATTAGCACATCTCATTTCCATGGAGAATATTCATGGTCTATTGACTTCGTAACTTTTGTCTAGTTTACATGTATTAGTTTGTGATTAGATCAGTTTAAGATGAACTGCTTATGTTAAGTCAATGATATTTGGTATGCAAATTTATTGGCATTTGCAAGTATCGTTTCCATGGAGATTATATAGCCCTACCTCTGATCATGGTTCATTGCCTTTGAAACTTTTACATAGTTTACAAGTTAATGTTTGTGTTTAGGTTCGTTTAAAAAGGGAACGACTTATAATAAGTCAATGGTATTTGGTATGCAGTTGTATTAGCATTGGCACGTCTCATTTCCATGGAGATTGTTTAGCTATGTACCTTCAGTCATGGTTCATTGACTTTGAATATTTGCATAACTTACATGTTAAAGTATTACTATTTTAATTTCAACATTTGCATTATCAAAATTACAAAAAAGGCAAGACATATCTCTGTGATAACAGTTTATTTACTTATTGAAAAAGAATTTGATTCTAACTGTACTTATGATCTGTATTTTGTGTTAGATAGAATCTGCAAACTAAAAAAAATAGAATAGATTTTAAATATGAATGTGTACAAATACTGAGGAAATTTACTAAAACATCACTTTTACCTTTCTATTTACATGATTTTGTGTAAAGTATAATCAGAATTTGTTTTTCAATATGTTGTACATGTTACATGTATGTGGACTTGAAAACTTATCATGCTTATTCACCAGACTAGTATCCACTAACTGTGTCTTTTAACAAAGTTTTCTTTCACAAAATAATAATTTTCTTTTCATTTTCTTTTATTTTAAAACTTAAAGTCAGACAAATTAGCAATGAATGAAAAATGTTAATAAGTTTTTGAATTTAGTGATATAAACACAGTATGGTTCAGACTTTAAGCTTATTTATCATGTTGATATGTATGTTAGTGTGGATTAATTTTAATGATTGTCAAATTTCCATTTGCCATTTGATCGTAAATGTTTATAGAAGCAAGTCATTTTTTTTTTAATAATAGTTAAATAATGATATAAACAGGAATTACCAAAATGAATATTGATATAACTTTTCCTAAATATATTTCATTATGGAACTGTAAAAGTGTATTTAAATGATTATCATGTTTTTGTTTATGAATATATGCAAATATGGTGTGTGTGGCAGTTAGACAAAACATGATGAGGAAACAATATAAAACATATGTCAACTGTTTTGTAATCGATAACAAGTTTTATTTCTTTCAGGATGAAATTCATTCAAGACTACGATTTGTTAGAAGAGGACTGGTTGCCATGGCAAATGCTGGGTCGAATGACAATGGTAGTCAGTTCTTTTTCACTTTGGACAAAGCACCAGAGCTACAAAATAAACACACCATATTTGGAAAAGTAAGATTTATTATAGGTACTGTTTTGCATTGTCAATAAAAATTCTTGAAATACACAATTATATGTGAGTGTATCCCTCTATGGGGTTATATTTCCAGTTAATGTGTTAAAACAGAGCATACATGTAGTAAGAAGAAGAGAAATTGCTTCTAAAGATATCATTTTTTTTTTATATTTTCAGATTCTTACTCATTGAATACATCTTATCTTGACATATTGTTTCTTTTTAATGAAGAGAAGAGACATTTCACAAAGAGCATGCAGATATTAACAAATAGCTTTTCAGCATAGATTTAGTTGCCACTGAATAAACTTCAAATTTTGTATCTAAAAAACTTTAAAGAGCCTTATTAATTTCTAACACTTCAATGGTGCAATAGTAACACATTCTTCTATAGTACAGGACATTGTTGGTTTGATCCTCAGCTGGGTCAAATCAAGGACTATAACAAAAGTATTTTCTTTCTTCACAAAACACACATCATTTTGTATAATGATTGGCTTAGAATCAGAATTGAATGTCTGGATTAGTTACATGTATTCCTATGGACTTATACACAAGGAGCTAGCCCAACAAAGATTTGAAATTTTGTTTGTTGGATACAAAGCAGAACATAATATGACATGAACATGTTATCACACTGAATATGCATGTACATTTGTCATTGGACACAATGCTCCTTTCTATAGTAGGCAGAACATAAAAAAATAGTCATCTAAACATCTAGATAACATAGCTATAGTTTTGTGTAATTGATACATGTAGCAGTATCCAAGATGTTTGATTTTTACAAAATAATATGATCATTACTTTTATTTGGCTTGCTCTTTTTGAGATTTGTATTTACAATACAAGTGGTAGATTTAAAAATATTCCTTTATTGGTATAGTATCTAAGTATTGCAGACAAATCATCTTAGATTTTTATAGTTAACATTTATTTGTTAATGTCTTTAATAGGTTACTGGTAATACAGTGTATAACATGATTAAACTTAATGAGTGTGAAACAGACGGTGCTGACAGACCATTATATCCACCAAAAATTAATAAAGCACAGGTAAATTTAAAATACTGAAACCCATGCTTCAAATAGATGAAACACAGATAGAAGGAACAAGAGATCAAGGAACCAGTTCCCCTTACTTACCTTTTATCTATGTCATATAAAAATGGCAACTACACAACAAAATTAAGTATATTTACTCATGTCTCCTTCAGATTGTTTGGAATAGTTCATTTTCAAAGTACAGACTTTGTTTCCAACTTGATAATTTTTCCAAAAGATAAAAAAGTCATTCATAGGACACACTAAAAGTTGTCCCTGCCAATACAAAGCTTAGAGCATGTAGGAGGAGCTGACCATAATTTTTGATCTCATAAGAGCATCTGACATTTATGGCAAAACTATGTTTGTAAAGCAGGCGGGTACTGTATGACAATTCTCAGCTGCAAGGTATATCAAGAATGTTAAAATTCTATGAATATTCATCATGGAAGAGTTAAAATATACATCTTGCAGACAGAAAATGACTGGTTCATTTCTGAATTCAGCTGGTTTCTTGGCCTTAATAATGTCTTTGAACTTATTTAATTGCTGCTTTTATACTATTGCATGTGTAGGGTTCAACCGTTGAGTCCCAGAAAGAAACAGACCTTCAAAATGCAGTTAAACAGCACATTTTGCTAAAATCCTGAGATACTTTTGATGCTACCAATACTTTCTAAAATATGAAAATGCAGAAACAATGTTTGACTTAACTTTGCATATTTAAGTTTGTAAATGCAATGTATTGGTTTTTAGGTGGTTTATGAAAAAGTTTAATGTTTAAGGCCAAATGGTCACACTCCTTTTGGTTGTTTTAGATTTTATCGAATCCATTTGATGACATAGAACCAAGGACTACAGGTAAAGACAAGAAAAATGAAGACAAGAAGATCAAAAGTAAATCAAAAGCTACAAAGTAAGTCTGCATGTAGGCTTTCTGTTTAATAGGTTTTTCATTCGTTAGTACAGTAAACAAGCAATTCTCTACATGGGATAGAAATGTTATTATTTTGTCTTAGAACCAAGCCAATCATGTAGTAAGAAAATATCTGTTGTGAGTTTTAGATTACTTTTGTAAGATACAAAACAATAAAGTATATTTTCTTTCATTAACAATCAGTTTAAATTTCTGTGCACTGTATATAAAGATGTAGTGAACATTCCCAGCATAATACACATGATTTTTTTATTACTTTTATCACTGTCAATAGCAGTGATGATAGGTATGTTAACAGGTTGACATCATCAGTCAGTCTGTTCAGATAGAACACTTATGGTCAAAGGAACTCAATAAGATATCAGATAATTTTTGTTAGTGACCATCATGTTAGTGAGCTACATTGTTGGAATTATTACCATATCCATAGATTAACTGTTTTTTGTGTTATGTATTCTCATAATGCATATTAGATAAAGCTATATTTCTTTTATAAGGCATTGAGCTCCATTTAGATCCAAAGTACCATTTATGAACCTGCCACTAATCTTCTTCCTGTTTACTTTATACTTTTAAAAAAGTTTTATTTCTATTTGAGTTTACATTGGTAAATAAGTTCAACTTTGTATTATCAGATTACTTATATAAAATAAGGAAATGAGGTTTGATTGCCAAAGACACAACTATCCACCAGAGATCATAGGACAAGCATGCAAACAACTATAGGTCACCATATGGCCTTCAACAATAAGCAAAACCCATACCTTATAGTTAGCTATAAATGATCCTGGCATGACAAAATGTGAAATAATTCAAAAAAGAAAAGTGACGACCTGATTAATGCAAAAACATTAAGCGAAAAACATATATGGCAGACAACCACTGAATAACATGCTCCTGACTTAGGCACATAAAGAATGTGGTGGTGCTAAACATGATTGTGAGTACCCAACCCTCCACACAACCTGCTTGTTCATTAAAACCAATGCATTAATATGAATTAACAAAATATTTTTTCTTTTATAGAAATTTCAAGTTGTTATCATTTGGTGAAGAGGCAGAAGAAAATGAAGAAAATGACACAATAGCAACAAAGGCAAGAACTAAGATTTCAGGGGCAACAAATATTTGTGGACAAGAATGGTCTTAAAATGTCAGTGGCAGTCTGTTTTCCAAATGCAATACATGTAATACAATAAAACACTAATGAACAGCATCTGGAAAAGAGATTGACACGACAAAGGCCATTTATTGTGCTGAAATAATTTGTCAATACATGTACCGGTACATTATTATTACAAATGTAATATTATTTCTTTCCACAAAAGGAAACATTATGTTTTAGTAGTATTTCTTCTGGTTCTGGTTCTGCTTCTCATACAATCTTGTCTAAGCTATTACTTTTTGTCGAGCTTGTGAAATTTATTTTGCGAAAGCGAGACATAGCGATCCTAGATTCAGTTGGTGGCGGCGTCAGCATTTAGGTTCAGTCTGTGGTTAAAATTTATTTGGACATCAATAACTTTGTCAAACATACATGGAATTTTATGAAATTTGGACAGAAGGTTCTTTATGACCAAAATACAGTATCCAGGGCAAAATTTTTTAAATAATTATTTTCCCTATTTTACTAATAAATGGACTTAGTTTTTTTACAGTTAACTTCAGATTTTGTCTGAGGTTAAAATTTTTCAGTCATCAATAACTTTGTCAAACCTTCATGGAATTTTATAAAATTTGGACAGAAGCTTGCTTATGACAAAAAGACAGTATCCAGAGGAAAATTTTGCAAACATTTATTTTCATTTTTCCATATTTTACTGATAAATGGACTTAGTTTTTTTACAGTTAACAAGTAGATACAGTCTGGGGTTAAAGTTTGTTACACATCAATTACTTTGTCAAACCTTCATAGAGTTTTATGAAACTTTGGCAGTAGCTTTTTAACGATTAAGAGATAATGTCTGAAGCAAACCTTTGAAAATATATTTTTTTCATTTTTAGTATTTTTCTGATAAGATGGACTTCATTTTTTACAGATAACATTTAAAGACAGTCTTGGATAAAAAAAAATTTACATGATAAATTTGTAAACCTTCATGGATTGTTATGAAACTTTTACAAAAGCTCATCTTCAAGACCCAAAAATAGCATCTAAAGAAAAAGTTTGAATTTTTTTTTAAATTCTGTATTTTACTGATAAATGGACTTTCTTTTTAAGTCAACATTACACTTGAACACTGACAGCAGTAATTGCAGGCGAGACACAGGATTCCGTGGAACCCCTTATGAATTTTTTTATATTTTGACACAGGCCTCTTATATTCGGCATTGAATTTATTTAACCTTAAGATGGTGTCCCATATCATGAACTCTATTTGACCTTAACCATTGACCTCAAGGTCAAAATACTTTATTTTTCTGTACATTTTTGTGCATTGAACATAACTTTTCTCATATGATTTAGACTTATGATATTTGGCATAAAAAATGAAAACAACACGTTATGGATTTAATGCGTAAGGATGCAGAACCTCAGGGCAATGTATTGCATATCATGGAAGATAATCTTGAATGTCAAATAGATTAAAAATCAGTTTAGTAACAAGTTATGTATTAATTTATTTATAGGAAATGAGAGGAAAGGGTAAAAGTAGTCATGATTTAACCGATGATCCCACACTTAGTACAGATGTGGAAAATCTAGAGGAAAGAGCCAAAAGTCAAGAGGTATTACCATGATTACAGATGACAATTACGTAGTCAATTTAAAAAATTTTGATTCAGCCATGCTGGATCTATGTGATCACTCCAGATTTGGAGATGGTGCAAAATTCTTAGTTGAGGACATGTCATGAAAATAAGTATGTGTTTTTACATGTTCTATGACTTGCAGAAACTTTATACACCATTTTAATCATCAACTGCCAACTTTTAATATGATATTTGTCCTTAAATAAAGAAAAGGTTGGGTGAACAACTTCTTTATTTTAGATATACACTTGCCATTTCTCAATGTGGAAAATGTGATTTATCGAATTTGAGCAGTTAATAAGAATAATGAAAGTGTTTTATCAGTATCTTATGTTCCTGTTAGCCATTGAATTAAATTTGGTTCAAGATGTGTATCAATATCAGAGTTGATTCCCACACTTTTTAGCTCACTGTTCATCACTTGGCATCCATCTTTTGTAAACTATTTCAAACATCTTCTCCTCTGAAACTGCTGAACCAATTCCAACCAAACTTAAGCTGAATGATCCTTAGGGTTTCTAGAATAAAGTTTGTGTTTTATTTTCTGTTTCGTCAAAAAATATGGCCGCCATGGCTAAAAATAGAACATAGGGGTAAAATGCAGTTTTTGGCTTATATCTCAAAAACTAAAGCATTTAGAGCAAATCTGACAGGGGTAAAAATGTTCATTAGGTCAAGTTCTATCAGCCCTGAAATTATCAGATGAATCTAACAACCCATTGTTGGGTTGCTGCAACTAAATTAGTAATTTTAAGGAAATTTTGCAGTTTTTGGTTATTATCTTGAATATTATTATAGATAAAGATAAACTGTAAACAGCAAAAATGTTCAGCAAAGTAAGATCTACAAATAAGTTTATATGACCAAAATTGTCAATTGACCCCTTAAGGAGTACGTCAAGAAACATAGCCACTATGGCTAAAATGGAACATAGGGGTAAAATGCATTTTTTTGCTTTTGAAGAAAATATGACAGATACAATATATATACATTAATATATATTGAAAAGCAAAAATAATCATTGATGAAAGATTTAAGCAAAAAATTACAGGTGAGCAATTCAGGCTCTTGAGAGCCTCATGTTTGAAATGCTATTATTCCCATTCTTGCATTAGGCAAATGAGATTATTTTATACAATACCAGTATGATGGACAGCTGCCACGATTTTCAAACAATTACACTCAAAGGTGTAAGTATTAATTGGATTAAACTTCACTCAAATGCTGTCTTAATTGACCACAGTTATATTAATATATCATAACAGTTGATAATCATACTGGTATTGAGGTCAAAAATTTGTGGATTCAATTTATTACACATCTAACTGAATACACAAAATCTTGACCTCAATAGTTGTAAAATAAGTGTCATAATCACCTGACATAAGTTAATAATTAAGGTTTTATTTAAGTTATAATTATCAGTAATTTGGTTGAAGCACTAAACACAATTGCATAACTCTTACCTGAGCATTTTCTACAATAAATTTATTTGTATATTCCCCATTATAATGCTATTTAACAGTAATTGGAATTATCTCAGCTTTAGGTATTTATACATGTATATTTGAATACAGGAAATGTTTTTTTTTCCTTAATGAAGAATGAACACCAATTTAGATAAAACTTAGTTATTAAATCATACAAAATATGCTACACATTTGAAGATTTCCCTTAACATTCTTGTCAAAATTTCCAAACTTTCTAAAAAAAAAGATGTAAAAAAATCTGACTGTGTCTTCAATTGAAATACCAAAATAAATTGCTTCAATATTGCAAAATTCTCCACCTTTTGGCAATAGAATAGAAATTTTACATTGATATTATGGAAATGAAGATAACAAAATAATTATTGTAAGTATGGTCAGAAAAAATGTCAGACTAGCTACAAAATTGGATGAATCACAACATCCATGATGCTTTGATTTATAACTGTAATAATACATAAATAGATATAAAAATAAGTAGATTTGGTATGACTGCCAATGAGACAACTCTCCACCAGAGACCAAATAAATTAGAATTTAGCAACTATATGTCAGTATGTGGTATAGATCTTGATTCATAATAGGCATTTCAATTGCTAACTACACAATTTTGTAAGCTATGCACCTTAATATCAAAGGCATCAATTAACAGAGTGAAAGCACAAGCTTAAATAGATACAGATATTCAATTGCATGGATGTTAAGTTTCCCCAGTAGTGACTTAAAAATGTAAAAGGCAACCTTGGTAGCCAAGAAATTTATGTTTATGTAAAAATTAGACGATGTGGTATGATTGCCAATGAGACAAGTATTCACCAAAGTTCAAATGAAGTGGATTTAGGCAATTATGGGCCACCATACAGACTGCAACAATGAGAAAAACCCACACCATATAGTCGGCTATAAAAGTCCCTGACATGAAAAATGTAAAACAATTCTAACAAGAAAACTAAAGGTCTAATTTATAACAAAAGTTTTATGAAAAACAAAACAAATATGACAGACAACCACTGAACTACAGGCTCCGGACTTGGGACAGACACATAAAGAATGTGGTAGGTTAAACACGTTTGTTAGCGCTCTACCCTTCCCCTAACTTGGGACAATGGCGTAAAAGAGAGACTAAAGATACCAAAGGGAAATTTGAACTAATTAGTCGAAAAATAAACTGACAACACCATGGCTAAAAAAGATAAAGACAAACAGACAACAGTACATAAAACAAAACGTAGAAAACTAAAGACTGAGCAACACAATAACAGCATGACTTAAGAACAAACTGTTAAAATCAGATACAATTGGCTCTTAAAAGATGGGTACAAGACACAAAAAACAACTTGCATACAAACAATAGACACAAAGCACCAAAATAAGAGTACTCACAGTTTCGGACAGCTAGCCTATTACAACTAATAAGTAATTAAAGTTCTCCCAGACTAAAGTTTTTCATACCAAACTTCACTTTTCAAATGAAAAGAAAAAATAATATCTTCAGCTGAAGGGATAATCAAATTTATATTTAATACAGAAGAAATGTACAGAGTGATTACAATGAGTTAACTTTCATGGTATAATTTTAAAAAGTTGAATGTGGATGTTTGATGTGGTTTTGTAATTAACAGTTAAATTAACCATAATATTTGAATTTGTGGTTAGCAAATGCCCAAATAATTACAGAAAATTATAACACTGGGAATAATGATAAAAAATACAGTAAATGCTGTGAATTGTTATGAATAACTAATTTTATAAGAAAAAGAAGATTGTTTTGTTTGATGGTGAGGTAAACAGTGGCATTAGCTACAATTTCGACTGTATACTTTGAAAAAAATAAAGTATGTTATTTTTGTTTCAAGAGCAGAAAATTGAACACTTATTTGCTATTAGCAGTCAGTTTAATTTTTTATTTAGTTTTGTAAAAATGAGCTTAAAACATCACCAATACATTGTTGTCTAGCAAGACCATAATTCAACCTCATTTTAGTCTGACTGGTTGATCTGGAGTTGGAAAAATGTGTCTGGGTAGGGTGACATGTCTGACTGCGGACTTTGACCTTGTGAACTAGCAAGTTCAAAATTGACGACAACAAATTCCTTTTGGCTAAGCAATACTCTTATAAAGGTAGAATAATGATTTACTGATTTTTTTAATGAATGACATGAAATCAAACAGACATGGAAATTGTTATTATACTATTGCACATGCTTGTCTGTCTCTTTATATTTATCTTTATGTTTTGATCAGGGTCACATTACCACCAACAATTTCAGAGGTCATCATGATGGTTAACTAGATGGCATTAAGTCCAAAAATATATATGAAATGTTGATACTTTATATTAATTTTCTGCATTGTTTATTATTTCCTACTGTTTTTTATGCCCCCCTCCGATTAAGTTTTACCCTTATCCGTCTGTACGTCCATACGTCCCAAAATTGGTTTCTGTTCTCAAACTTTAGTTTGCCTCAACCAAATGTTATGAATCTTATACACAATGCTTATTACCACAAAACACAGATGGAGTTTGAATTTTGGTAGCGTCACGTTTACCGTTATAGAGTTATGCCCCTTTACAAATGGAAAAATTGCTAAATTTTTTGTTTCCGTTCTCTAACTTAAGTTTGCCTTAAATAAATGTTATGAAACTTATGCACAATGCTTATTACCACAAAACACAGATCAAGTTTGATTTTTGGTGGCGTCACTTTTACCGTTCTAGAGTAATGCCCTTTACAAATGGGAAAATTGCTGAATTTTTTCGTTTCAGTTCTCTAACTTTAGTTTGCCTCAACCAAATTTTATGAAACTTTTACACAATGCTTATTACCACAAAACTTAGATCAAGTACAAATTTGGATAGCATCACTTTTTCTGTTCTTGAGTTATGTCCCTTTATAAGGTTATATGCAAGCGGGGGCATCATCTGTGTCCCATGGACACATTCCCTATTTATTTTGTAATCATATATATGTTTTAGTATGTTATAAACCAAATGTAAGAGTTTGGGTCAATTCAGTTTACAGGAACTTTGCAGCTAACACCTTTTAACATCTCCTTCTGTACAGCTAGTGACATAAACTCATGATATTTGGCATGAAGGTGTATTACAGTACAACAGAATGTCACATTTCATCATGATCTTCATGTTACATTGACCTCACAACTCAAGGTAAAAAAGTTGACCTTTTGGGACATTTTCTTGTCCAGGTTGTAAATCTTTTATCCTTTGACATAGGCTTTTGATGTTTAGGTGTATCACCACAAGATGACCTGTCTAGTACTATTCAAGGTGACCTCTCTTTCAGACAAAATTTTCATGTCCATCCCAAACCATATACCGCTATATTCTTTTGCCAAAGCAAACTTATATATATTCTTAGTTGTGATGACAAGATCTTAACAGTGCACTATAGATTTTAGCCTTTCAGTTATGGTGTGTCTTCTATTGATGAAGGGGAGACTTATGTATTTTTCCACTAAACCAGATCCTTTAAGTTCTTAACAAACATGTGTAAGTTAGAGTCCTCCTACCTTTATTCAGTAAAACTAAAGCACATTTTTCTGCCTGGAGAAGAATTGTATTCTGGCATATGAATTGTTTATTTAAAGGAAGATGAAGCTGGTAGACAAGACATAGCAAAAACAGTGGCAGAAAAACTGAGAGAAGGAAAGGATAAAAGAAAACATGAAGAAAATAGTGATGATGAAGATGATCATGATACAAGTACATTGTAAGTACAATATGGTTAAAGTATTGTCATGTATTAAAGTCATTTGAAGTTAGATTTTCTTTGAGAACAAAAACTCTCATCTCCACAGTTGGATAATTTGACTGATAAAGTATTTCCACTAAGAAAACCACAAGATTTGTTGTCATGCAAAAAGTAGAAATACTAAATGGCTTTAATTACCCACTTCATTTAAACCTATTCAGGGGAATCTAAACATTAATTATCATAAAAAAACTACAATATCAATAGAGTCTGTATCAAGCATCTGGCGTCCAAGAAAATAATATATTTCTGACACATGGGTGGATTCAGACGAAAGGGTTACCACCAAATATTAGAAGAAATATATTTTTAAGCTTTATACATGTCCATTTTATTTTATTTGCCAGGGTTGCACCCTTTCTAACCATAAATTCTAGATCCGCGTCTGTGACAAGTAATATATAACTGTTCTTTCATAGATGGCCATAATTTCAGATCATTGAGGAAGATTTATTTAAATTGGATGTTAAAATTGTTTAAAAGCAGATTTTTTGTTTGTACTGCATATGCCTTTAAAGGTCATAAGATTTATACTTAAAAAAATTAGCAATCCGAGTTACATTCTTTTCAATACCCATTCTAAGAGGTAAATCAATGATATAAATAAAATATCATTTCAAACAATATATTTACTATAATAACTACACCCATATGGGTTGTCCAATTCAAAAGACCATCTAAAAAAATTTGTTCATTATAGGTTGAAAACTGCAGAAAATAAGAATGAAATTTGATGTTTTACTCCTTAGGTAAAGTCAATTGGATGTGGAAGACCCTAGCAATAGTATTGTTAATAGTTAAAGAGGTCTTTATTCAGTTGTGTTTAACAAATAAATTCATTATTATATTAGGTTCGAAATGTGAGGGTACACCTCTGACAATGATACAGCAACCAAACTACACAAGGAACCAATAAGACACTGAAATCCGTTTAATAGAAGTCACTGCTTCAGATACTTTTGACATGTAAAAATGGGAAAAAATTAAAACATATCATTCTAAATTATACATACAAAAATACCTAATTATGTAAATAAGGTATATACTGAAATGCTAATGTGTAATATTGTTATATTTTATACAGAGATGAGCTAAAAAGAGAGGCAAGAAAACTGAAGAGGGAATTGTTAGGAAAAACAAAGACAACAGAAGATTTGACACAGTCAAAAACAGGTAAGTTGTTTTTATGATATCAATGAATATAAATGTAAGGTATATGCTGATTAGATCAAATATTGATAATATTATTAATGGAAAAAGAGCTTAAAGAAGATGTATTCTTTACTGTATTATTGACTGAGTATTCTATTGTAACAATTATGGTTAACCAGATATTTATAAGTAATTGCAAAAGTTATTTTTTGTACATCTTTATTTGTAGATGAGACTTGAGAATGATATGAAAATAAAAATATATATTACAAAAAAAAAAAAAAATGCCAATTAGACAGCAAATAAACAACACAAATAATAGAAAGCCATTTAGAAAATGAAAATAACACTGTATAAATATTGTGCAGTGGAGGGGCTTTTCTGGATTGACCTTCATCAGGAACACTCAAACCTAAACAGTTAAAAGCTAGGGATTTATAAAATATGCTGAAATGTTAGGAGCTCTTGGATCAAATAAGACTAACAAGAATAGCTGAATACATTAAAGTTAACTTTGCCGTAGGTAGATGGAATGTTAGTTTCTTAATAATTTCTTAATTTATCAATAGGGAATTTTAGAAAATATTTAAAAAAAAAAAAATCATGTCAGTACCAGAACAGTGTTCTCCCATGTATTTTCAAATACCATCGTGAGATTCCAGATAGCACCGTTTCCCCAAATTACAGCACCACATGTAAATACCTTCTATCATAACATCTTTTCAGTAGAACTATGGTAAAAATAAATATAGCATTATGGCACCATATTGCAATAAGGCCCTGGGGAGAACACTGCCTAAGAAGTCAAAATACAGGTTTGAATAATAGATAAGTATCTATACCATTGGTCATCCTCTTAATCATCACACGTCTCTACAAGGCGTAAACAAATTATAACAAAGATTATAAAACCTCCAGTTTACACAACATTCTTCAAGTGTAAAAAATGACAATATTAACTAAAGCAACAACTTCTGATGTTACTGACTTCAAGCACATCAACATGCAGCAGTATTAAACTAGCATTTTGTCTTTTGAAAATTATAGAAATTAGTTTCCAGTGAAATGGAAGATAAGTTAGAACCATGTTTGCATAAAGGCATTTGCAATTTCATATTTTATTTTAACACTTTTGAATAGTTGATTTTGTATTTCCTTAACACAGGAGGCAAAGGTTTTTTATTTGATTAATGAATACATCCAAGCCCGCCTCCAGGTGCGGGATTTTCCCGCTGTGTTGAAGACCCATTGGTGGCCTTCAGCTGTTTTCTGCTCTTGGATGGGTCATTGTCTATTTGACACATTCCCCATTTCCATTCTCAATTTTATTCAGAACCTCGTCAATGGTTGTCTTATGTCATATCTTTATCTTGTGTACACCCTCTACGGCCCCTCCCCCTGAATCCACCACTTCTACTGGGAGATATCCATCAATACTTACAATATCCAGCCATCAAAACCAGAATTTTAATTAATGTATAGGGAAATGTTAATCTACAATACCTACAATATCCAGCCATCAAAACCAGAACTTTAATTAATATATAGGGACATGTTAATCTACAATACCTACAATACCCAGCCATCAAAACTTCAAGTTCGATTTTTAATCTAAAAACAAAATACTCTTTAATTTTTGAATTTGACAAGAACATGATCAGTTGTACATGTATTAAGATTTATAAGACTTTTAACTTTAATTCTTTGTTTTTGTAGAAAAGCCAAAAATAAGTGAAGTTGTTGAAAGTTATATGAAGGAAAGACAAAAGTACCAGGATTTAAAAAAAGTACAAGGAAAGAAAGGGAAAGATAGAGAAGCCATGACACTTGAAATGTTATCAAAATTTAAAAGTAAACTAAGTTCTGCTAAACTTTTGGGTGGTGATTATGATGATGATGAAGAAGAAAAGGCAAATGAAAAGGTAGAAGAAAAGAAGGAAGAAGGTGAAAAGATGGAAGAAGAAGATGATCCAACAGATTTGTCTTGGTAAAAACAAATAATAGGAAAAATAAGATTAAGGCATAAAAACAATTTGATTTGAAATAAATTTTGTGTAAAAAAAATCCAAATAATGAATTACTAAAATTTTATAACTTTTTCATTCATTAAACTAAGAATAAAGAAGTTTAACCTTTTCATAAAGGTATGGAGTGCTTCTCAGTTTCACAAAATAAACATTAGCTTTTATTTTTATGATTTTTAAAGGAAACAGTATTCTTGATATCTTTTTAACAGAAGTATTTATTATTTTTTATACCCCGCCGTAAAGGAGGGGGCATTAAGTTTTACCTTTGTCCGTCTGTACGTCCATACATCTGTGCGCCCGTACGTCCAAAATTAGTTTCCGTTCTCCAACTTTAGTGTGCCTCAACCAAACTTATACACAATGCTTATTACCACAAAACACAGATCAAGTTTGAATTTTAGTGGCGTCACTTTTACCTTTCTAGAGTTATGTCCCTTTACAAATGGAAAAATTGCTGAAATTTTTCGTTTCCGTTCTCTAACTTTAGTTTGCCTCAACCAAATGTTATGAATCTTATACACAATGCTAATTACCACAAAACACAGATCAAGAGTGAATTTTGGTGGCGTTACTTTTACTGTTCTAGAGTTATGCCCTTTACAAATGGAAAACTTGCTGAATTTTTCGTTTCTGTTCTCCAACTTAAGTTTGCCTCAACCAAATGTTATGAAACTATAAACAATACTTATTACTACAAAACTCAGATAAAGTACGAATTTGGGTAGCATCACTTTTACCGTTCTTGAGTTATGTTCCTTTATTACGTTATATGCAAGCTGGGGCATCATCTGTGTCCCATGGACACATTCCCCATTTATTTCATTTTCAGATACTTTTATTTGAGTTTCATTTTCAATAATGTTATTAATATGATACAAAATGCTACCTAACAGGGAATATGTTCTGTTCTGAGGTCACTAATTAAAGGAATGTGAAAGGAAAGTGTAACATAAAATAGTTTCACTAGTAAATAATTCATTTAACAAAGGAGTTTATATTTGGATCTCCTTGACTGATGCATGATACCAATACTTACCAAATATTTTTACTCTCTGAATTCATTTTTTTCCTGTCAGATACAAATGAATGAATACTCTCTTCTTCTTCATCACCTAAAGTACACAGCGAGAGTAACCCATAAATTGATGCTTTAAATTAACCATGTTCCTTGGGTTCCACTTACAATGTTGAAGGTATATTCTTGTTTGTTTGTTGTTTTCCTGTACTGTTTTTTGAAGTGCCGTTTTAGAACCATAATTTCTAAATTGTATAATGTGATAGTTTTACAAATTATGTTTAACAAATAAATATTAAATAATAACATATGGGTCAGCATTGAGTAAACCATCAGTGAACACAGCTATCATTTTCATATATTAAATGTAATGACTGATGATATGTAATTAACACCATACGTATTAAACAAAGGTAATTATATGAATAAAACTAATCCTATTATACAGATTAAAACATAGGAAATGCATTATAGTAAATGTATCAATTTTAACTATCAGCACTTATCCAATGATATGTAATTCTATAGCAACATATTCAGTGATCAGGTCTCAAATACCCTTACTATGATACAATCCACATAGTATTTCTTCTCCCCTTCCTGACTTGTTCACTCCAATCTGAATCGAATAGGATTGCCTGTTTTCTTGCTGAATGTCAATCTTGCTTCCTCCTCCAATAAAAACAAAAACTGACCTGCACAATATAGCCAATGGTGGCCATGCTGAAATAGGCATTAAACACCATCAATCAATCAATCAATCAATCAATTAATCAATCATTCCTGACTTGTTACCAATTTTATAACTCATTCAAGCCAGTAGAATCTTAGTCACACCAATAAGCTGTAAAGCAATCAATCAGAACTAACTTTTGTTTAGTAATTTCAAGATGGCGTGAATATCAACTGAAACTTTGCAACATGATGTAAATCAATGAATTTCCAACAAATTTATCATTTACATTGGCTGTCACTGAATAAATCTATCTGAAATATATATAAATCTATTTGTTGAAAAGAAATATCTACTTAGTGCAGAATTAAATGTTTGTTATGATTGAGTATATTGGATCATGAAAATGATACATGATTTTATCGTATGTACAATGTATAAATTTGTAAACTTACAGGATGAGGCACAAGCTAAAATTCATGGATGATGAACGGAAGAGGAAAGTCATTGATGCAAATGTTGAAGAGTTGGACAGATATGAAATTCATGATCCAAGGAACCCATTGACTAAACGAAGACGTGAAGCAAGTAAACAAGTGATGAAAGAGCGGAGATAACACATGTTAATTGTTTTGAATCTGGTGTTCTCTTCACAAACAATTGGACGTCTGTGTTTTTTAATACTGGATAAGGCATGTGCAAAGATCTCTTTATGCTAACTGAGTATTAGCAGAGAAATAAATTTTTCAGTTCTATAAAACTAATACCACATTGAAGTTTGTATCAAATTCAAAGCTTACAGCAATTGAAAAAGGCTTGCAATTGACATTTATTGCATAACTAAAACCTCAAAATTTGGATTGAATTTTATTTATTTTTTGGTTTTCAAATTGTTATTAGAATAAAAAAACAAAACAATTCCAGCTTGTTTAAAATAAGATAGCTCAATAAAGATGTTAATTAAAAAGAACTTGCACTAAGATTTAATTGCATTTGTTGATACATGTAGTTATATTGAACATATTATTTGATGTTATGTTGTCAGATTTTTTTTATGTTATAATTAAAAAAATATAATAAAACTGGAGATAAAATTAAAATTGAAGCTGTTTTTAAACAAGTAAAGAACTGTATGTGTTGACACACAGTCTTTTATTAAATAAAAGGAAACTTATTTTGTAAAAACTGTCTCTTTTGAGAATGAAAAGAATTTAAAAGTTACACATTCCCATGGTCGCGAAACACGTGACTTCGTCGTGATCAGTTTCACGGAAAAATGGCGCCCGTCAAATTATTATAGTTCGCTTGGATGTAAACTGTAAACGTAAGTATTTACATATCATCGTGTTCACACATAGGACCCCCCTCATCATATGCACATTTTTACTTGCGAATATTTTGATGCATATTAAGTTATATTTCACTGTTGGTTTCATAGAGAACATTCACGAAATATTTCAGACCTGCTGAAGATTGTTTGTGGATTGTGTAAACGATATGACCGTAAAATCACTGTAAATCCATTTGTGTGTCTTATTTTCACCAATCGTGTAAAGAAACTTACCTATATTTACTAAATCATTCATATAAAGTAGCGTCAATGTATATTTTTGACATTATTGCGAGCTGAACGCAATAATTTTTTTTTTGTCAATAAATGATCAGTGTTCACGGTTAGAGTTTAAGTGATCAGTTCCACGGTTTAATTCTGAAATATTTCGTGAATGTTCTCTATGAAACCTATAGTGAAATATAACTTAATATGCATCAAAATATTCGCAAGAAAAATATGCATATGATGAGGGGGGTCCTATGTGTGAACACGATGATATGCAAATACTTACGTTTAAAGTTTACATCCAAGCAAACTATAATAATTTGACGGGCGCCATTATTCCGAAACTGATCACGACGAAGTCACGTGTTTCGCGACCGTGATACTTGTCTTAAAAAAAAACAAAGTTAATCATGAACTAACAGATATAAGCATTTATTACATACTTAGTAGTAAATACAGATAAATTGTATGTGTAATACAATCATTGGCAATCATGCTCTATTTATTGGTTTACTTTGTCAGAATCTGGATATAACAGAATATATGGAAATTTTCATCAGCATCTGAACAATGTCCAGAATGTCCTTACACATTACCCTGATATTGTTAATTATACTTTTAACAGCAGCTGATTTTTTTATGTTGTTTTGACAGTTAAGAAAAACAAAAACTTGGTAACAGAAATTATCATTCATTTAGATGTTGCAAATTCTTCACTAGTCTCGTTGCACCAGAGTTATCGTTCTTACTGCGAACAATAATGTCTGGTAGCAATTGTTGAGATATTTGTTATATTCATGAGCCTCGACTACGATCTGTAGGTTTTTTTCCTAATACGCGATTGGATGGCATTTACATGTTGAATAATAAACTCCTCCCATACTTCAATAACAACAACATGGTCGAAGAGCACATGTATCGTGCTGTTTTATTTTAAAGACGAGAGTTATATCTTTTATTTAGATGCATTTAGTAATGATTTGTTTTAAAAGGGAGATGAACAAAATATTTTCAATGAATGTGTAAAACTCCTGTTTTTAGATATTAAAGAATCTTAAACAAGGATTTAAAAAGTATTTCTATATAAATCCTTGGTTAAAAAATAATATATTTTGTTGTTTTTGGGTATAAAAAAAGCAATATAAATCTCAAATCCATTCTCCACCTCATCAAAAGATGAATGATAGAACTATTTATTAATAGCAAGTTTTAATTTCAGCTTATTGACACCCCTAATGGATTTTTTTTGTGGGAAAAAATGGGCTGATTATACTAGGGAATCGCTGAAGCAGACTGCAGCGGGCCCCATCTAGGCAGTCAGTGAAAATTTCTGGATACGCCATTGCCACTTCATGTAAAATTACGTATTGATTTGGTTTTTTACGTTTTGTTTATTCTATCAACAAAATTGGGTTTTAGTGGGGTGGGGTGGTACACGAATCTTTTGTCAGTATCAATACAATAGCAAATATTGTGTTTATCTTGACAACAACTGAACTGAGTGCTTTTACTTCCCCATTTTCTATTTTTCTTTTTTTTAGTTTGGGAAGTTGATTGATTTGTTGCTAGAAAAATAGTTCAATCATATTCTAGAAGACTGCAAGCTGTATACCAAGCAGCTATATATATATATATATATATAAACAGATTGGTCACTATTGGTATCAAACATATATTAAATGTTTTACATTTGATTTATTTATTTTGTTTCTTTCAAATTTCTAGATTTGTATACTTTGAACGCTAAACCAAGGATTTTTATAGTTACTATACAAATCCTTGGTTAAACCTCATAGATTTAATCATACCTTTATTTAATTTTCAGTTTTGCTATTATCCTGACAGGGTAGAAATTGGACATAACTGCTCAAATTAAACATGATGCGTTTTTTGTATATAATTAAGTGAAAATAATCCGGCAAGGGAGGTGGGTTGCATTTGAAAATGCATATTTTTCACATTAACATATATATTATAAAGATTTAATATAATTCTTCAACATTGTAAATCTTTAATTTTATACAGATTTTAATTTTTTTTACTAAATACTAACATTGTCTCACTGTTTTACACGGCTAATAATTTCATGCGATGGTAAAGGCCCTTCTCTATTTCTTTGGAAAGAAAGAGGGGGCTTTACCATCGCAAGAAACAGATGCCTTTGTTGCTTCTTGTTGACGTCGTCACTGGTTTTGAGACAAAAAAAGCGCTGTCCATTTGTTTTTATACGCCCGTTTACCGGACGTATTATGGTATACCGTTGACCATCTGTCCGTGCGTCTCTGTCTGTCTGTCCGTACGTCGTCAACATGTCGGACATTAACTCAAAAACACTTTACCCAATTTGTATAAAACTTTGGTGAATTGTATATATCTATTGACAAAAGCTCCCTTTCGTTTTTCATAAATTTTAAATTTTACGTTTCAGAGAAATGGGGTTTTGTTCATTATAAAAAGGGGGGTTTCCAGTTTTCGGACAATAACTAAAAAATGCTTTCTCCAATTTGCAAAAAACTTTGGTCAATTGTTTTTATCTATTGACCTGAGCTCCCTTTCGATTTTTATAAATTTTAGATTTTAAGTTTTCGAGTTATGGGGTTTTATTCATTAAAAAAAGGGGGATTTTCCAGTTTTCGGACAATAACTAAAAAATGCTTTCTCCAATTTGCAAAAAACTTTGGTCAATTGTTTTTATCTATTGACCTAAGCTCTCTTTCGATTTTTATAAATTTTAGATTTTACGTTTACGAGTTATGGGGTTTTATTCATTAAAAAAAGGGGGATTTTCCAGTTTTCGGACAATAACTAAAAAATGCTTTCTCCAATTTGCAAAAAACTTTGGTCAATTGTTTTTATCTATTGACCTAAGCTCCCTTTCGATTTTTATAAATTTTAGATTTTACGTTTTCGAGTTATGGGGTTTTATTCATTAAAAAAGGGGGATTTTCCAGTTTTCGGACAATGACTATAAAATGCTTTCAGCAGTTCTCATGAAACTTTGGTGAATTGTTTATATCCATTGATGTAAGCTGCCTTTTGATTTTTATAAATTTTAGATACTATGTTTCCGAGTTATGGGGTTTTATTCATTAAAAAAAGGGGGATTTTCCAGTTTTCGGACAATAACTATAAAATGCTTTCAGCAGTTCTCATGAAACTTTGGTGAATTGTTTATATCCATTGATGTAAGCTGCCTTTTGATTTTTATAAATTTTAGATTCTATGTTTCCGAGTTATGGGGTTTTATTCATTAAAAAAGGGTGATTTTCCAGTTTTTTGACAATACCTTTAAAGTGCTTTGAGCAGTTTTCATTAAACTTTCGTGCCTGGTTTATATCTATTAAGATAACCTCCCTTTATTTGTTTATAGTCTGACAACAGATTTACTAAGTATTGCGCAACAGCACAGTGTATTGAACAACAGCAAGAAATCTTTAATTGAATATAAATTCAATTCATATAACCAATTTCAAGTTCTTTGACTTCATTTATTCAGAAACATATAATATGTCAAATATTTGATTACAATCCAAATTCAGACCTGTATCAAGCTTGAATATAATATTGTGTCCAGTTTGGACAAAACTGTTCAGGGTTGGACCTCTGCGGGCGTATCCAGCTGCGCTCAGCGAAGCAGTTTATTATATGTGTGTAGTTATTTTGCCAAAAACAAAATAGAGAAAAAGTAACTGAAATATGTCAATGATGACCACGGAGACAGAGTAGGGAATTCATAAACAAGACCCATTAGTGGCCTTTGGCTGTTTTCTGCTCTTTGGTCGGGTTGTTGTCTCTTTGACACATTCCCCATTTCCATTCTCAATTTTATCAAAATAAATCAGTATGACTGCTGTGGATAGTGAACTTGAAATTGATAGTAAATAGCAAATACAAGTTATTTGTAGTATATTAAAATTCATATGACACAGAAAAACGGGAAAATTTTGTAATTTTTTGGGAAAAAATTTACGGGTATTGGAAAAAGGGCGAGGGCTAAAAAATTGTCCTGTCCCCAATTACCTATGAAATGACGTAGGTTAAAGCAATTGTAGTCCACCATACGGCCTTCACTGAACTATCGGAGCAAAACCATTTCCGTATAGTCATCTAAACCAGGCCTGACATAACCAAATGTATAAATATTCAAAAGGAAAGACCAACGGCATAATGAATGACAAAATAATATACGAGAAAAAAATGACAGGCAGCAACCTTCTACAACTACTGAGTTCCTAGCTTTCATTAGCTAATGGCGTACAGAATCGTGCTGTGGATTGACATTTTTGCAAGACACACACATAAGAGCTTACTTGAAAGTGCTGAAGCATCACAAAGTTAGAATAAAATGTAGAAATCAGTTGGAAATTGCTGAACTCGTTAAGATCGACACGATACATAAAAATTCTGCAAGTCATATCATCATTGATAAGTCTTAAAAGATTAAATTAGTGAAAATTGTTACTGTAACAATTAAGAAAACCACACCAGTTTTATTTATCAGCCATTTTTATAGATGAAGATCAATGCATGGAAGTATGGGGC